ACGAACAAGATTAATCCAGGACATTTTCGTGTTTTGGGGAAGGGGAGGGGTGGGGGAGTGGCACAACTTGCCTTCTCGCTATCTTTTCCGTGGCGGTACTGTGCCAGTCTTAGTGTTTCTGGGAGCGCCGGGGACGGTGGGCGAAATCCATTCCCCCTCTCCTCCTGTGGTCCTCCCGCATTTCTCCGGAGCCCCCCGCCTCCCTTTTTGGTTCTCCCGTAAAAGCGACCTTCCCCAGAACTTTTCAGTTTTCGCCGGTGTATTACTGGCACGTACTACGCTGATGACGATCGAGAATGGCTACTGCTCGGATTCGCTGCAGCGCGCCCGGAGCGCTCGTGAACGTCATATTCCAGCTTCCGGTAATTCCGCCAGCTCTGGCGCTGCTGCCACTGCCAGGGTCGCTGGTGGGCAGTCGTGGAGTTGCGCGCATCCTCCAAAAATTGCTGCGTCATCAGTCGCTGATTCACTGTACAGCCGTTCGGTGCCAGCGGCTTCTGGCAGTGGTTTTCGCTTGCGGTCCCCGGATCGACATCTCGGCGAGCATCTTCAGCAGCATCGCGAATTACGGCGCTCGCCTTCGCCAGCACATCGAAGAAGCAATCAGCAGCAGCAACAGCAGCCAGAACTTCCGGGCAGCGTTCCGGAGTGGCTGAATCAAGTAGGTTGCCATCCTTTTCCAGATGGTGTCACACCGCACAAAATCAATTTTTATTTCTGACTTAACCGATGGGAGAGCTCAGCAGTTTGATTTGCCCCGCTTTTTTTGCTGTCAGATACCACTGTCATTTTTGTCGTACTTTCTGGTGTCAATCTCCTGACCAGACGCAAGCTGCACGCGGTTATCCATGGGGCATTTGACGCGACGTCTTATAGGATATTTTCAAACTAGCATCACCACCGTCGTTATTATCATCGCCAGTGTGATCAGCATTACTGTCATCACTGTTGTCGTTATCGCCATTATTATCTTCACCAGCATCGTTGTCATCATTATCTTCATCATCATTATTATAAACCACTATCAGTTGCGACTGATTGTTGTGGTAGTGTGTAGCGATTTGTTTGTGATGGTGTATTAGACGTTCACACTGCAGGTCGTTATTATTAATTAATTCAGTGATGCCGAGGCATCGCAGATGAGCCGCTTTCCGGAATATATGCGTCAGAGAGTATGTGTGTGCATTTGTATTGTGTATGTGTGTATGTATCTATGTATGTTTGTATGCACGTATGTTGTTTCAACTTGAGCTGATTAGGACCAAATATGCAATTAGCTCTAATATGTTATCATGCTCGCTGTTGAACATTTCGATGAGTTTTTTTTAAGCCTGCCTGGGGAGCTGATTGTGCGCGTCCGTTTCAATGCAGGGAGATACTCTGGGATTGGGGGAGCGGGAATGGTAGCCGGCTTCTTTCTTTCTCGAGTGGATCCGTTTGCGGATAAAAAAAATGCGAAAAAAACTGAATCAGCGACTCAGGGTTTGATCAAAGGATGCAAAATTTAGCACAGGCGTAAGATTTGGTTATGGCGAAACAAAAGGCTGGAAGTGTAAAATTGTATTAAAAGAGAGTAACAAGGCTACCCTGCCAAATGATGTGGGGACCCCATGTTAGTAATGTTACAGGACATGGCAATCCCAGGCTTTTTGATTCTGGGTTGCATACCACCACGCTTACTCGGTGTATGTGTGCCACCTTTCAGGAGACCGCACGAATGGTCATTTACGTCCTCGCGAACGCAACTCACTAATGCACATCGTCTAACCGATTGTCCGCAAAGTGAGCTGCCCATCAGACTTTACTTCCTCACATGGTCGCAATGATATCCTGCATGCTGCTCATCTGATGGAGTTTCTGATTTGCTTATATGATCACGGAGCATCTTTTGTTCCATTGCTTTCTCCTTCACAGTCAGCACGCTCTTTCTTGTTCGTCAGCAGTCACACTTCGCATTTGTAGATCATAGCTTTAGACAAAAGGAAAAAAAAAATCCAGAGAGAGAAAGAGTAATAGTTCAGAAATATTGAATTCAGCACCAGGACGTAAAAAATGCCATGTTCAGGAAAATGCAGCCGTAAATAGTGCGTGCCGTCTTCCGTCTCTTTCACCCCTCACCAGAAGCCGGATGCACCAGTGCATCATGCCTTGAAACATTTCTTTAGGAACGGAGTTATGCATTTTCATAAAAATAGGTGTAATATTAAGAGATTACAATTAAATGTATGACCGGATAATACAACTCCAGAACTATGAAAGCTAAATGCATCAAATTTTGACTTATAATCCCTCATTGTATAATCCGGGGATCACGGTGGATAAAAAATGTAAATTTTGGAAAATTTTTGCCAAATAACATGAAGCTCAGAAAGTGAAAATAATTCTCGCGGTGCTCTGTACTTTGAACTTTGGTCTGCCAAATTTGGTTTAGTTTTATAAATCGAAAACCAAGAAAGTAAAAAACCGGAAATTTTGAAAGACCGTTTTTTCAAATAATTCGAATTAAATTGCCGAAAATTAGACTTGCTTGCAGTATCTTCTATCCGAACTAGTTTTCCGTAGCTAAGATTTCCAGATCCAGAGATTCAGTTTGAAGGGCTCGAAATCTTTGCCGTTTCTTGAACTGTGAGGTACATTCAAATGCGGGATGATATTCAAGCTGTAGGACGAATGCGGTATTCTAGTGCCTTCCGTAGTAGTCGGATCAGTGGAATTGCCATCGGGAAATACTGCCTTATGCACCGATAGTACCAATTGGGCACTCGCATCAATTAGTTCACTGTACAAGACACGGCCGTGTCGACCGGTAGTGCGCATTTCTGTTGGCGTTGCTTCAGTTCCTCGGTGGAGGACGAGTATAACTCGGCAGAGGTAGATTCACATCCGATGGAGTTTCATTTTCGAAAAGCGGGCTGGCCAAATGAGAATCGAAGGGACGCTATCGTCGGGCACTCATTTTAACGGATACTCTGAAATTGTCTGGTACCCTAGGACAATAACAAAATGTTGCCGTTTCGTTCAACACTGAGCGAAGCATCTTGAAAACGGTGCTTCCCTAGCACCTGTTGCGTCCAAAATCGAACTCTGATTTAGTTAGAAGTCCTATGTATTTTATTGCGCCTCTGTCATCTATCGCTCATCAAGGCTGTGGAAAAAATGATGGGCAGGTGGCGCCTAGCCGTTTGCATTAGTCTTATCAAAACTTCGACTTCCTTAGTCTTGCTGAGATTTTTCTGAAATGCAATCTGGTGGCGCTGGCGCCAGCTTTGTTTCTAAGTTCTCCGTCTGTATGTATATATATATGTGTGCGCGCGCGTGTGTGTGTGTGCGTGTATCTGTGTAATAACCCCTGGGCAACCATTTCAGTACTTTAAGGCTATTATATAAGACGCAGTTTGTCCTCTGGGTCTGCATGACCGCTCAGGAAGTGAAGATACTTTAGCGTAGGCAGCCACTTTGTATCTGTAGGCGAGTGGCGGCTGTGTTCTGTACTGGATTAGCGGAAGTCAGGATTCCATCGCATTTCACTGACCACTGGCATGTTGTCTCCATTGATATCGCTCTCTAAATCAACAAAAATCACCGGCAGTTCACATGCACAGTGCCACAGGACGCTTGTGTCGGTGAGAAAACCGAGTTCGGACGAACCAGAAAAGCGTTTGTTGACAGTGCAAGCTATAGCAATGGGGACAAACAAGCGGGGAATAGTCTAGGCTTGCTTGCGTAGCTGCTGCCTCTCGAACGGTAGAAGTAACATGCTCTCATTTCGACGTCGGCAAAAGGCGTTTTTCATAAAGTTTGCACTGCGCGAAATTTTTGCGCTGCAAATGAAAGAAGGGAAGGAGGAGAGGGAAGAGGGGGAGGGAGGGGGAGGCAGGTGTCGCCGGTCGAAACTTTCTGCGCAACACCTGCAACAAAACTTCTTGTTTTTTCTTGTTCGTCTTCCTGTTGCCGCCGTCGCTCATTTTTTACGGTTCTCGAGTGGGAGGTGAGGCTCGCCTTCCTGTTCTGCAGCGTATATTTCATCTTCTCATTGATTTAAAACAAATTGACACTCGTCCTGCTGCGCTTTCGCACTGCTTCTGATGCCGCTGCTTTTTATTATTACATTGTAATTGAACTGTATATAATTGCAAGTAAGTGTGTATTACTAGTATTTCTCATATGCTTTATGCATTATATGCTGGCTGGCCTGTTTGCGTTCTGGAAATATTGCGATTGCATAAGTAGGATCAGGACATATTAGGATTGTTTTTATTTGTGAGGGCAGCGCCTTAGTGTTTGCTCTGATTATAGGATTCACGGAAGAAGTACTGCGGAGGGCAGCACGAGACGTGCAGTACTGCTGCATCGCTGGCATCTGCAGTAGAATGCTGCTTGCTAAACACAAGTTTCCATCACAAGCTTAAATCGCAATCGATATATCGGTGCTTGTGTTGAACTAATATTTTAGCGCGTTTCTATTGATGGCGCGGTGTTGTTTGTCGATTGCTCGCGACGATCCTTGCAAGTGCCTCATCCAGGAATTAGGCCACCTCGTCGTTCTGAATGTTTCCCTCCGAGTCGCAGAATCCCTTCGATTTCGCAGCGTTTCTCTTCCTCGCACGCTTTAAGTCTGTGAAGCGGCAAGCTAACTTCTGAGCCCAATTCAAAGTCAGCAGCAGGGGAGACAAATCCATCTGCAGCTCATTTTCGAACGGATTCTGAACTGTTTTGCTTGGCGGAAATGAATTACCTTCAACGCGGTCTTCAAGAAGTCGCGGGGCGTGGAAGTTTAGCAAGCAATTGGTGCTGCGGCAGCGTGGTACGCTTGGAACACTCGAGTATGAATTAACTGTAAGCTGGAGCCAGCTGTGACCCTTACAAGACGATACGGGGCTGTAACTCACTGCCCATAACAACGCGCTGGTTTCCGATCAGTTCAGTCGAGAGGGTACATTGGAAAGGAAGTAAGAGCACACCCTTTTTATGTGCCTGCTTAGATAACAGAAGTATGAATGCGCGGGACCGTTTTGTATTCTTGCCCCTTTGCAAAAAAATGTCTTGCATGGTACGCGGTTTTCCACTTGGTTTGCTCACAGTGCACGTGCATTTGCATAGTGCGTCGAGGGTGGTGTGTTGATTCAGTGGTCCACTTCGCCTGCTTGGCATCTGTGTGGATGTTCCATAGCGGGGAAGAGGCGGGCAACGCCTCACGGATAAAGCCTCCTCGATAAATCGTCTTAGGTATGCTGGAGTACTTTTGGAGCTTGTACCAACTTCAGCATAGCTCGCTTAAAAAATCCTGGTTAAAGAAGAAGACGTTGGCAGTTCCGGGATGGTTACTAAATTGGTAGAGCTGTTGTCATTCCCCTTTGCAACCTCGCGAATGGGCCATTCATTTTTTCTCGTCTATTTGAAACGGATCCCAGTCAAATAAGGCCCGACAGACGTATTGGATTTACTCTTGCATTCTTTAACTTGACATGCCAAGGGGAAGAGAGAAAAAATCTTACGTCTGCTTTTCTACATCAAGGTACAAATTGTTCCTTTAAGTTGCTGGTCTCATTTTTGGTGTCATTTTGGGCACAAACCACACGTCTTAAATTTCACTGTCGTGGCTTTTGCATCTGAAGGTACAACATGTACTGGTGAACAGACCTAGGTTTTCTTTATCTCGTCTTTCTGATTTATATAAGAACACTAAAATTAGCCAGCGCACCGACTGCCGGTGTGAAAATGCGTTTTTTACACAGTGCCCCTTAAGTTTTTTTCGCAAGGGACACTGTTTTTTGCTTTCAGATGCTTCTTGCGAAAGAAATTGCGACTGACCACCATGACTGCCAGAAAATATTCCCTTAAAATTCCAGCTTTTCTGATTCTTGAGTTGGCAACTTATCTGCCAAAAAATTTCACGCGTTAAAAAAAAAAAAAAAACCACGCACACCTGAAGGTTGAATTTGAAGTCATTAAATTGTACGTGGACAGGAAATGCCCCTTAAAGTTTCAGTTTCCCAGCTTTCCCGAATTGGCATTTTTCCCGCCAAAACTTCTATGTGCTCGTGCGTGAAAAGCACACGGACGTGAGCGATCATTTTGAGGATGGGGGTCCGCACGTAAGTGTAAACTAATTTTACCAGAGTTTCAGACTTGTGACTTTTCTGGATTTCGAGATGGAAAATCTGTATAGACGCACAAAACACACACACACACACACACACAGACAACCCCTCGACAGTATATGTTTTTGCACTGCACAGATGCAAAAAAAACACATAAAAAATGAAATCAAGAGGTGGAGCAAAATTCAAGCATAAGGGCGTTAATATCAGCAAGCGGATTGAGCAAAATCAGCTGCTGCGCCGAGAGCCACTTTAAAAGTCCTAGGCGAACTTTAGCGCTAAAATGTTCAATTTAAGTTAGCCAGAAAAAAATTAAATTTGCTGCTGTAGCCAGCAGGAGTTGCCACCATCTTTGAGGAGCCATGCGGGCTGGCGAGAAAAGCCGTACTATAGCAAGTGTTCAGTATGATGCGGTAAACAGACTGTAGGATTGCACATCGTAGAGAAAACGAATTTGATGAACGTGTATAGTTAATCGGTGATATTGATCACTTGTGACAGTTTCTTTTTATAATAATTTTTCAGCTGGATGATTACATAATTGACGAGATATTGTCGCTGGAGGACGATCAGATGGCCCTGCGTGAGATGGGCCCCACAAAAGCGCAAGTGGTTCGTTTTTATGCGCTTTTTTGCACCTATGCAATGCGGCAACCGCATATTGACGAGAGGTTGTCTGTGTGTGTTTGTGTGTGTGTGTGTTTGTGTGTGTGTGTGTATGTGTGTGTGTGTATGCGCAGGGTCTTTGTACCGATTTTTCATCTCGAGACCTACAAAAGCTACAGGGCTGGTACTTTGGGGACTTAATCTACATGCAAGTACGGGCCCCCATCCCCAAAATGGGCGGTCTTTCCCGCGTGATACCCGCGCAAGAGCGCGCCAAAGTTTTTTCACGAGTAAGCTGCTAACTCGCGAACCAGAAAAGCTGGAGAGCTGAAATTTTAAGGGAGTGTTCCCCGCCCAAGTGGGTACGAATGAGCTCAAACCTAACCCCCGGGTAAGCGTGGTACTCGCGTACGAGCCTGCCAAAATTTTTCCGGGTAAATTCATAATTCGGGGGTCTGAGATGCTAGAAAGCTGAAATTTTAAGGGAGTGTTCCCCGTTCGAGTAAGTACTATTGAGCTCAAAATCAACCCTCGAGTAAGTGTGGTACCCGAGTGCACCCCCGCCAAAATTTTTCCCGGGCAAGTTCATAACTCGGGGGACCTGAGATGCTAGAAGACTGTAACATTAAGAGGGTGTTCCCCGTCCACATTAGTCTCAACAAGCTCAAACCCAGCCGTCGGTAATGCGTGGTACCTACGCAGGGGTTCACCAAAATTTTTCTCGGATAATAATTCGAGAACCTCTAAAGCTAAAAGATTGTAGTTTTAGGAAGATTTTCCCCATCCAAGTAAGTCTCAACGAGCTAAAACCCAGACATCGGGTATGCGTGGTACTCGAGTGCGGGCTCGTAAAAAATTTTTTCCAGTAAGTTACTAACTCAGGAGCCAGGAAAGCTGGAGAGCTGAAAGGGGGTGTTTTCTGCCAGTTTTGGCGGCCAGCCTTAATTTGTTTAGCTAGAAGGATTTGCCGAAAAAACCGATGCCGGTGGCGACAAAAATTGCGGGAAACTGTGCGAAAAACGCATCTTCGCACGGACAGCCCGTGCGTTGGCCGATTATCTCACACTGGGATGCAGGAGTGGACGGATGGGCGAACTGCCTTTTTTTGTG